CTTCAGTGTAATGTAAAAAAAGTATTAAATAGGCCATGAGATGACATAAAAATGAGGCTGAATAAATTTAAATACAGGTAGGCCTATAGTATTATGAAGGTACAGTATTACAGTACTACTTTTAATCACATTTGTCTTCACTGGGTTTTCAATTAATCGTGATTTCCATCCCCACCATTATCCCGGATAATCGAGAGTTGAGTGTATAACCATCCCACAATATAAAGTACACGAAACTTACAAGTTCTTTGGGCAGTCTCTAAAAGAGTGAAAAGTATTTTTATTCCAAAATAATGTTATGAGAATTGTTTGGGGGTCAAAATTACAAGAATAAATGTGTATTAGTTTTAACATTCAGGAACCCATAATTTTTCCTTTATATTATAAGGGTAAAAATGAAGCTTTCCAACTGTTTAATTGATTGCCATTCTATAAAGTTGTGGGAAAGGCACTAGAAGGTGGTGAGTGGTCAATCTCATACCCTGAATACTTTATCTCCAGGAAAGAACCCCCAGTAACCATTGGATAGGAGGCTAGTGGTCGTCAGAGATGATGGGATGATGTGAAGAAGAGAAAAATTTTTTGCCCCTGGCAGGAATCAAAGGCTGATTCCTTGATCACCATACTAACTGAGCTGTTATGGCTTTTCTCTTATATCATATGGTTTTTGATTACTTACAAATCCATACTATAGTTGGGTTCAAATTTGCAGGCGAAGTAGAGGTTCAGTGTCAGCTTAAACAGTAATCTCCCCATTATCTTGTATGTGGAATGGAATGAGCTGGTTGCATGAGAAAAAGTCTTGTGGAAAGCCAGTACAAAGTCAGAACAACATGGCAGATTGATGGATGAAATATTTTGGATCGTATACTCTAATACAGTCACAAATTCGCCTAGCCTATACAGTCATGGCACCTGTGTGAGGGAGGATGACAGTGCTGTTAGTGGCGGCTGATAGAAAAGCTGCAAGGTGGGTGAACATATGCACGATAGAACTTCATTTTTGAAGTGATTTCATAAAAATGATAAATAAATTTTTTTGTTGAGTGAGAATCCCAGATGCTTTGATACAAGACAAACCAGTGCATATTGTTATGTCTAGGGTACCACAAGGAAAGTTCCAAATGAACTAAGTACTGACTTCATGGACTCTACTACCAAATACTNCTTTCTATTTTATCTTCGACACTTATGAATATTAGAGCAATGACCTCTCCCCTACCTCAGTAGTGTCCTCGCAGGATAACATTCCCATAAGTATTGGCATAAACAGCAGTTGTGTGTGATATTTCTCTAGTATTATTAGCACAAATTCATAAATAACACAAGGGGCTTTGGTGTCTGCCCTCTTACACCACAGTCTATGCAAACACATTTTTTCTTCTGCTTCTTTACTATGAGATCCATTCCGAGTGACTAAATGAATAGTACTGCTGTGAAATATATGGTACTTTTTCTGGCCTTCCTCCAGTAGCATTGGCTCAACTTGATTATCCTGTTTCTTAATTTATTTTTAAAACTATTCTTGTTCATTTACAGTGTTTGTCAGTAATACTGTTGCAGTAGCAACAGGATTCACATTTAAATTCACTCTAGTTGTGGATTCTTACATTAATATTTACATTTGTACGTATATGTGGATATGATTATAACAGGAATTTTCTTGCACTTCAGATGTTAGTACACTTCATTATCTGTAATATGTACATGGCAGGGCTCATAATTTCTTGTTCATAACTTATAAAAGCTTGTAGGAACAGAAGTAAAACAAAATATATGAATACAGTAAGATCATGAAACAGCACAAAGAGATGGAAAAGATCAAAGAATAGTTCACATTCCTTATCATCAGTGTAACTGGAAAAATGTTCAGTAATATAAAATATTAATAAATTCATAAGATAGAATAAACATCGTCTTTTTGCAGCTTCATCTGTTATGGGGTGGAAATA